CCGGGCGCAGTTTAGTGTTTGCAAACTACTGAGTCGACAAATTGCACAGGGTAGATCAAGAGAGAGACAGCGTCTCTTTCCTTTCACCTGACCAGGGGCCAGCACCAGCTGGAGAGCCGCAGTGGTGAGCGGCTTGGGGCGGGGAGGAGGTTTTGGGGTGGAGGGACGGAGGGCTGTTGGTTTCTTAGGGACTTTAACAGAGTGGGTCCGCTGTCTTAAAGGCGGTTTATAGCCTAGTCCCGATCCAGAATTGAGCAACCCAGGCCCCGAATGGTTTGGTACTCTCTAATACACTCGGAAAAGCTAGCTGAGCTAGAGAAACAATGTGCAAACCGGGATATAGCTAGTGCCTAGCTCTGGGTGCACTCGGGTCCTTTGGGCACAGCTCCAGTAGCATCCACCCTAGGTGCACCTGAGTACCTAACCTCCTTTCCTAACCCACCTCCATTCATTGCGTTCTCTGCGCCTCTGCGAGGGCTGACCCACTTGGCTCACCCCGGGTCCTTTCCTCAGGACCAGGTTCCCTCCCCCTCCCCCATCCAGGCAAGGATTTTTGCCCTCTAACTCTCCTGGAGCCAACTGAGTCTTCATTCTGCTGGGGCCAAAGCATCTGGAATGGCTGCAGGCTTCACATACAATAGCCACATTGATTATGACACGCTTAAAGGGGGTAAAGGCTCTCCTGGTAATGTTTGCAAGACAGAACCGGCTGCTCCCAAGTTTTCCATTTTGTTCCAGATCTGCTTCCGCAGAATATCAAAGAAAACTGAAGAGCCTACAAAAAGAGTTAGAAACAAAATTCAAGACAATATACTCACACACAAAACTGTGGCACGTGGGGGTGATTTAAATAAATAATCCCCACTACATTTCCATGTTCCTTCCCTTCAGCTCAAAGTAGCCATCCCAGGATTCCTACATCAAGACATAAAACAAAGGGCGGCTTTGAAGTGGATCACCTCAGTGTGAGCTGCTGCCTGTTACGTGAGAACCGATCATCGGCCTTCAAATTTATGGCGCTTTAATAGAGTAGGTCCGCTGTCTTAAATGCAGGGTGTGTTACTGTACTGAGTTATCCGGGCTAAACAGAAGTGATTTAGAATGGGCGCCCTGGGCTTCCCAAAGGGCAGAAGAAGCTCAGGCTGAGAGGTTCTCTTCCCAGCAAACCCGCTGAGGAGTGGTTTCCCAAACCTGAAGTTGCAAAGCCATCAGGGAAAGGAGTGTCATCGCTCGGTCCCACTGAATTAACAAGAATGCCCAGTAAGAGTCGTGACCTCCAGGATGAGACCCGTGGGTTATTTGAAGACCCGGCTTAGGCAAAGTAAGGCGTTAGATCAACTTAAACCTCCGAGAATTATAAGAGAAGCTACCACAAGCATCACCTCCTACTTCTGTCTTAACTGGCACCGACTGACGGTGGAAGTCCGTTATTTACTACCATTGCAGCGCTAGACACAGCCCGGTGCTGTCGGCTCCCTCCCAGCCCAAGCCTCCCTCTCCCTCGGCCTTCACGCAGCCACGGCGGGCGAGCAGAGGCCAAGGCCGGCTAGCAAACGCCTAGCGGGTCTCGACGAGTCCATCGAGCCTCCCCGCGTCGGAGGCCAGGCGGGCAGCAGGTCTGTGGTCCTCGGCTGGGCTTGCGATCCTCTCTTTCCAGCTCAGGCTACCGAGCACAGCTGCTGGCCCAGGCCGGCGCCTGCCACTTTATATAATCCCGCAGCTCGCACGCTGGGTGTGTGGACGGGAAAAGTGCGGAGTAGGGGATTCTTTTGCTGCTCTGCCTCCTACGCGGAGCCTGCGTTCCACTTCTGAAAAGTGTCGGGCCTTGGGAAGTGTTTTTCTTTTCATTCCTTACTGAAGCGTTTACTGCTGCCGCGGTCGCAGTCATAAATTTTGTTACAAACCACAATGACAGGTGCATTGATATGCACCGTGAGAGCTCCAGCTGCTTAATAACCCTGTCCCCTGGCCGCTGTGAGCGCCTTTTATTTATTCGGTATCATATTAGGTATTGATCTGGGCAGAATTAAGTGCAGTGAGCAAGTATCAGGGCTCTGTTGCTTCTGAGGCTAGGCCTACTGGGCGGGCCAGCGCGGCTAGGGAGCGAGGGGTGCGAACTCTAAGAGGGTGCCTGGCCTTCCTTCCGGCTGGAAATCATTTGGCCCTGTCTTCTGGGCCTGCGGTGGGGCCTCCACGCTGGGTTGGGTAACTTCCAGAGACTTTGGAAAAGAACTAACCCCTTCAGTTAGGCGACCCTTCCCTAAGAGGAGAGAGAAGTGCTCCAGAGGACAGGGTGGCTGCACCGCGCTGTGCTCCTCTGGCCTGGGTGAGGGTGGGGGAGGATAGAAAGAAGGAGGAAGAGGGGGAGGGGCTAGGAGGAGGAGAGGAAAACTGAGGACTATTCCAAAATAAGAAGCCCTGCTCAACTGCTCCTCCCCCAAAGCTGTGCCGCCCCCCCCCAAGGCATTTGGATCTTGGTGCTCAAATGAGCAAAGGTACCAAAGGGTGAGAAAAGAAAGCCTTAACAGGGAGGGGGGAGTGATCGAAAAGATGAGCCACTGAACAGTTGACCATTGTCCAAATGATTTATGACCCAGTCCCGTTTTTTAGGTTCAAGCAGAGTTCACAAGGAGTAGCGATTTCTGGAAAGAAATAAACTTTTTTTTTTAAAAAAAATATCAGTTTTGTAACAATATTTTCAGGTTGTGCTCTGGAAGTGGAGCTTCTTTAGGGCTCTGTATGGTGGGTGCTGTGAAGTTGTGAGTGTGTGTGTGTGTGTGTGCGTGTGTGTTCCTAAAAACGAGGAGCACCGCTGCTATCTTTGATTGTAAAGAAATGGACATTAGACCATGAAGTGGGCCTGGAAATTCTTTGAGACAATGGAAACAGGCAAGAGATGACTCGACTCTGATTGTGAGGGCTATCTGTGCCTCTGAGGCCTTTATAGAGAGATTTTTTTCTAAGAACATACCACAGGAGCAGAAATAATATGTAAAGCCATCTGTCTCATAGGCTTGCTTGGTTCCTCAAGAAGCTATTTTAACGTGACTGGTCCACCTCCCAAGACAAACTTGGTCAACACAGAGGCAGAAGGGGGATGTTTTGCTTCCACAGCTGTCAAGAACGTGACAAAGCAGCAGCAAACAAAATCAGGTGGTCCCAGAAGCCTGATGCAACCATTTAGACTTCCAGAATGGAGCAGGATTCCTGAAAAGCCCTAAAACTTAGTCAACCTAGTGTAGCAGCTTCTTTGGCCTGGGCAAACGTATATAAATATTAGTCACAGAATGAGGATTTATTGTTCATTTGTTCTTTGGTAACTTTAATAGTCAGGGGTTGGTATTGAAAATTAATCAAAAGAATTAGTCTAGCTTTGTTAGGTGGATATCTTAACTGTACACATTTATGGATACTAGCAGAAACAAGGCTTGTGACAAAACATTTCAGTATTACTGCAACCCATTGAGAACCCATCTCTCTCATCAAGATAAAGGGCATATTCACTGTGTTCTAAAGCAAAATGGGCAACCATACTACCAAACAAAGGCTAATTTGGAGACTTTTCTTCAGTGGTTGGACTTTCTGATGAAAATACAGGGGGAAATTAACATTAATGCAGAAGTGTTTTGATTCCTGTGTTTAAGTCTGATGGGCCACAAGTTGCATGATGTGGTCTCTCACGATGGAGGAAGCCAGGGAGAATGTTTGGATGAGCTCAAGCACCAAGGCCAGAGAGCTGACCTGTGGGTTTTCTTTATCAAACAGACAAAAGTGATTGAACGATATTAGTTATACTTTAACTCCTCAGGAGCCTTTCAGGATGGTTGGGAAGAGCACCCCCCCCCCATGAAGAGTCAGAGCATACAAAAGGAGAAGAATTTTTCTTAGTTCGTTCCCATCCTTCTAAGTCTGGGTCCATCCATCATGTCAGGAGAACTTCTCTCATTGGCTATAGGTTGGGTGACAGGTGGGGCAGAATGGAAGGGACAGAGCAGAGGTCAAATATAATATCTATTTATGTAAAGATCCAAAGGAAAATGATAAAGTTATAAGAGCATTCACCATTCACCCACACTGCATGCATTTTAAGATCTAAATCTTTTCTCTCGTTTTTTAGGGACACCCCTTCTAAAAGTAGCAGAAAGACAAAGTAGGGGTGTGGGAAAATGCAGATTTAAAAAACAACAACCCCTTTTCCCCCTTTAGCTTCAAAGTAAGGTTGGGAGTCTTTAAGTCTTCCTTTTGTTTTTTTACTTTCTGGTTTTCTACACTGTAGATTTCAGAGTCCTGACCCATAAAACTACTGTGTGGATTCTCAGCCTGTAATCAAAGTGGACTGTCTGGGTCTTCAGAAAAGAGTGTGATTCTGAAACTAGGTGGGAAGGTGTATGATAGAGCTTCTCTTTTGTCCATCCAGACACTGAAATTAGGGCTTGGGGCTTCTTAGAGTCCCCTCACAGCATGCACAAAGCCTTGGAGTTGATCTCTAGCACCAAGAAAAACCAAATCCCGGGATTATCTGGGATTGACTGACTGACTGTGACCTATCTACTCATTCATCCATCAGTTCAATAACCACTATCATTGAAAGCTGGAGATATGTAGATGAAAAAACAAAAAACACAATCCTTTCCTTTAAGAAGTTCATCGTTTAGAGGAAGAATCAGTCAGTCATAAATGTTTTCCCATGCAGGCTCAAAAGCTGTGTTGACAATCTTGGAGAAAGACAATTCTCCAAGAGAATCTTGAGGTGGAAGGAACTTCTTCCTTAGGCTAAAGCTGAACTCAGGAGGAAAGGTCTTCTCTTACATTTAAGAGAAATACTCTAACTTCTTCAAAATTTTGTTTAAATTGAGCTTCATAAAACCCCAATCCAGAACCTTGCCCATCCTTCTACTTCGAAGTGAGTGGGAAGCTGAAAGCATGCTCTAGTCTCTTTGTATTGATTGGTCTTGCCAATGACAGTCCCTCTAGGATCTCTCCCCTTTCTTTCTTGGCAGGTCACCTGGAACCTGGGAGCTGACCCAGCTCTCTCAAGAGTCAGCAGACATTGGCCTTGGTGGTGAAGGGGAGAGTGGTAGTCAATGTTATTTGAGCAGGGTCAGGAGGCCCTGGAACTTCCTGAGTGCACCATGCAGAAGGCTGCATACTATGAGAACCCGGGACTCTTTGGAGGCTATGGTTACAGCAAAGCCACTGAGGCATATGGCTACAGCACTCCTCATCAGCCCTACCCACCCCCTGCTGCTGCAAACTCGCTGGACAGTGATTACCCTGGTTCTGCCTGCTCCATCCAGAGTTCTGCACCTCTCCGAGCCCCAGGCCATAAAGGAGCTGAACTTAATGGTAGCTGCATGCGACCTGGCACTGGGAACAGCCAGGGTGGGGCTGGTGGCAACCAACCTCCTGGGCTGAACTCAGAGCAGCAACCACCACAACCCCCTCCTCCACCACCCACCTTGCCCCCATCCTCGCCCACCAACCCTGGAGGTGGAGTACCTGCCAAGAAGACCAAGGGTGGACCTAATGCTTCTAGCTCTTCCGCCACCATCAGCAAGCAAATCTTCCCCTGGATGAAAGAATCCCGCCAGAACTCAAAGCAGAAGAACAGCTGTGCCACTTCAGGTAGCTCTCTGGGCATCTCTAGACCATAACCCTTCAGATTGACCTTAAGAACCAATTACCTGGAAGCCAAGAGACTCAGGTCTAGAAGAGCAACCTTAGCAACAGTGTATCCAAATGTAGAAATGTCTGTCCTTTCTAGTGATTCTGATTGGGTCCATACTCTTGCAGAGATAGGGCATGCTTTCCTTGCTGATGCCATTACTGGACTGATCTCACCCTTATTCATAGGAAGTTCTTTCTTATGCTGACATATTATCTGCCGTCCCAGGAACTGGTCAAAACTCAGCTTCCTCTTTTACCCACCAGCCCTTCAAATGTGAAGACAGGCAGGGTGTAGTTTTGTACACCATAATCCCATCACTTGAGGCTGAGGCAGGAGTATCTTGAGGTCAAGGAGAGCCTAGGAAGTGTAGTGAGTTCCTGGACACCGTTAAGAGATCTTGTCTCAAAGCAGAAAACCAAGTCAAGACAAATAATATCCCAAAGAAGAAAAAGAATCATGCCCAAATAGGTTATTCACATTATCTATTTATTTTATTTAACTTTCCAAATAACTCTTTAAAAGAGACACATGATAACACCCTCGTTTTCCCCAGATCCCCAGAACTGCAGAATGGTGGACTTGGGACCTAAGGGGTATGACTTCAGGGCCTTCAAGGCATAACTGTAAGACTCAGCTCACTCTAGAGAACCCATAACAGGGAAGAGCAGGTTCTAGGGGGAGAGAATAATTTGGAACAAGAGCAGCTGTGACTTTCCTGCCCTGGGAAGAGAGACTCTAGAGCTGAGGAGACTTCTCTTGGTCCATTTTAGGTCTGAAGAACATGGGTTCAGTGAGGAGCTGATGCCTTCTCTCTCTGCCCAGGCCGTTCCTTCTTGAACGTTTTGGGCTTTGTGTTCTTGATGGGGTTGACTCTCGGGGTCCAGGGCTAGTCTGAAGCCTGGGCTGTGATTTGTTATCTGCCTGATGCTCCCTGGGCTGTGGCTCCTAGGGGAAAGCGGCTTCCTGCCCGAAAGCTCCCTCCTCTGCCCCTCCCTTCTCAGCTCAGACACAGGCCCTCCCTCCCAGGAGAAATCCATTTGTCTTCCCAGTGAAGGAGTGGACAAGCAGCTGAGGGGTGGCAGGGGAGGTGAAGCCAGTGCTGAGGCTGCATTGCCATATGGAACATGCTTTCTGCCTGGCCTTGGGATCCCCTCAAACTCCAGGGCAGTATCTTGGTGGGGGGTGTATTATCACATCCCCGGCCTTTGGGAGCACCTGGCTGGAGTCAGGTGCCAAGACCCCTCCCTCCCTACTTCTTCGCTCTTTGGAGTGCTTGACTTGTAAACAAACCAGGCAGGCTGGAGCTACCTCTGACACCCCCGACCTCCAGCCCCTAGTCCCCAGCAGCAGAGCTTGGGAGAGGTGTTCAAAGAAGCCTGGCTTTTTTTGACGGGGGAGTGTCTCAGGAGTTGCTCTTAGCCTTACAGTAAAGTCCTTCATGGCCTGTGGGTTGAGATGAGACGGTGGGGTAGGGTGGAGAGGAAAGGAAGGGCAGGATGAGGCAGCAGCTGCAGGTACGACTGAGAGGTAGGCCTAGAGGCTAGAGTGAGCGTTCCTTCAGACTTTGACCTATCAAAACCTTCTACCCAACTCGGGAGGGATTGGAGGTGAGAGCAGAGGGGGAAAATGAAGACAGGAAAGCACCCCTCTCTATTCTGAGGTTCCTTACCCCTGGCTCAGCACCCTCTCTGTCTCTACCTCTGCCCAGGAGAGAACTGCGAAGATAAGAGCCCGCCGGGCCCAGCATCCAAGCGGGTGCGCACGGCGTACACTAGCGCTCAGCTGGTGGAGCTGGAGAAGGAGTTCCACTTCAACCGCTACCTGTGCCGGCCGCGCCGCGTAGAGATGGCCAACCTGCTGAACCTCACCGAACGCCAGATCAAGATCTGGTTCCAGAACCGTCGCATGAAATACAAGAAGGACCAGAAGGCCAAAGGCATCCTGCATTCTCCGGCGGGCCAGTCCCCAGAGCGCAGCCCACCTCTTGGAGGAGCGGCGGGCCACGTGGCCTACTCCGGTCAGCTGCCGCCCGTGCCCGGCCTGGCCTACGACGCACCCTCGCCGCCCGCTTTCGCCAAATCGCAGCCCAACATGTACGGCCTGGCAGCCTACACGGCGCCGCTCAGTAGCTGCCTGCCGCAGCAGAAGCGCTACGCGGCGCCCGAGTTCGAGCCCCACCCAATGGCGAGCAACGGCGGCGGCTTCGCCAGCGCCAACCTGCAGGGTAGCCCGGTGTACGTCGGTGGCAACTTCGTCGACTCCATGGCGCCCGCGTCCGGGCCGGTCTTCAATCTGGGCCACCTCTCACACCCGTCTTCGGCCAGCGTGGACTACAGCTGCGCCGCGCAAATCCCTGGCAACCACCACCACGGACCGTGCGACCCTCATCCCACCTACACAGATCTTTCGGCTCACCATTCGTCTCAGGGACGCCTGCCCGAGGCCCCCAAACTGACACATCTGTAGCGGTTGCCGCCGGCCTGGTAGCTCGGTGCAATTACCTCTCTGGTTTTGGTGGCAGGGGTGGTGGTGGGGCGGGGCCCGAGGGGCAGCTCGGGACACCCTCCCGTCCCCGATCTGGTCTGGCCGCTGCCTCTCGAGTCTCCGCTTCCAGCGGCCGAGGCTGACACTACTGGGCCTTCCCTCCAGGCGCGTCCTCCTTTGGGTGACTCGCTATAAATCAGCCGCAAGGATCCTCCCCTGTAAACCTGACAGTGCCATATTCTGCGGACCGAGGGACTCCAATCTGGTAATGGTGTCCCTAAGGTAAGTCCGAGACCCACCCGTGGCGTGTCCTGAAGAGGAACTAGAGCCTGGAGAATCCCGGGCCTGGCCCCTCCGTCTAGCTTAGTTTCAGAGACCTTAATTTATATGCTCCTTCCCCTCCTGTAAAGATTGCATCGGACTAAACAATCTGTATTTATTATTTGAAGCGAGTAATTTCGTTTCCCTGATTATTTATCCTCGTCTTAATGTATTTATGTGTATATTTGTAGAATTCTCCAGCCGGGCCTAGGTACGCGCTCCCGGGCCTTGGGGGCCACATCTCATCTCTTTAGTCCCCTTGGTCTGAACAAGTTGAGAAAGTAGTTTTGAACAGTTGTAACCGTGGCTGGTGTTTGTAGTTGATGTAAAGGATTGAGATCACAAACGGTCCTTCATGGTTAGAGTCAGGCAGCCCGGTGGTGTAGCACGGCGTTTCTCAACAACCGAAGCCCTCACTACTCGACACAGCTTATTGATTTCAAATTGTCTGGTACTATTTGAACAAACATTTAGAATAAAAAAAATTTTCCTCAGTTGGAAGTGTATCTGTGTTACTCACACACATTTGCAGGCAGTCAACTCTGCCTTGATCCCCCTGTAAGCCCCTCCCCCAATAAAAAGGACCCTCTGAAAAATATTTTATTTATTCGGAACCCATTGCATAAATTGTCTTGGAGGGATGCTTGATTACGTTCACGCTATTGAAATCGGATGGCAGTAACCAGAGGATGCAAACCCGGAAATATTCTAGGTGGGGTGATTGTGATAGGGCTTTGCCAAAGCAGCTGCTGCAGGGCTCTTTCTAGACATGATTGTTACACGGGGAGGCAGAGCTCATTTTTCTGCATTAAATAATAACAATTAAACTTTTGAAAAAAACCTGACAATCAAAGAAAAAGCATAAGACAAAACAGGAAGGATTAAGCTAGGAAAACCTAAGGTGCAGGGGTATAAAAAGAAATGACCAGGCAGAGACAAGCACCCAGGCTTTTATCTAGGAAGTGCTCAGGATTCTTTTTCCTTTGTAATGGTCAGTAGCTCATTTCAAAAGAAAACAAATGTTCTCCATAAATGTAAAATAATAAAAGTTTCATGAATGGAACGTCACACACGTAAACACCTTGTTTACTCTTGCTTCTTTGTGCAACATGGGCAAAAAGTCTACAACATTTATAATCCTCTTGTAAATACTAGTGGGGCTCTGGCTAGGGCTGGGCTCTTACACCCACTTCTATAGAAGGGGACACTTGGAAAAAGGTCTTCAGACAAGGTTCAGTTATTTTGTATTTCAGCAAAGTCCACCCACACATCTCTATTTGGTTTGGCAAACACCAAGTCCCAAGACCAGCCTGGTGACACGAGGTGGAATTCCTATTGTGTGGAAATAGCTTCTCTTCTGGTGGGACAACAATCGTTTTCTATTTGGATGTTTGTGTTTCGCTCAGCAATGATGACGCAAAATAATATTTAGTTTCCGTGTTCCTCTGTGCTGTTTTTTAAAATGGCATGTTAGACTGCGGGTGGGAGGGGATAGCCTTTTGCTAAATTTCACTCTATCTGAGCAAGTTTAAAGTATATATGTTGTAGAATTGTATCAACAGAATAAATGACTTCAACCGAAGGCATATTTTACCCACTCTCAAGGCTTAACATTGTTTTCTATGAAACTTGCATTCATAGACAGAATCTATAACGAAAAGAAATTATTTTTTTAAGCTCTTAAGGAAATCAAAGAAGAGCTAGCTGCATTGTAGGAAATCACAGCCACCTTTCTTAACTGGCTAAATATTAAATAGATGAATTGTCAAGCTGTTTAGATTCAGTCCGGTTTCTCTCATCTCCTCTTCCTACCATAAATAATAATAAAAATACATAATGCATCATGGCTCCAGGCATTTCCCAGCGCGGTGGGTTACCGCAGGAGTATCTGCTGAGTCTGCGGGTGTCTGTAAAACCCCAAGTGTCATCTGTGGCTTAGGGTTTCATGGATTAGACTTTAAACAGTGTCTAGCCCGGTTGACATCAGCTTCCTCTCACACATGGGCTCTAAGGAAGTGTCAGGTTGGGGCCTCCATCTGTAGGCAGCGGCAGCCTCCCAGGCCCTGTGGTGGAGTAAGGATGCTGGGAGAGGGGGGGAGGGGGTCGCTTAGACCAAATCTGCGGCCTTCTCACAGATCCCGAAGTTCTAGAGACAGCAGAGAATTGCTTGGTTTCTTTCCTGCCACTGACGTGAATCACGTGATGGACACACTCGCTCCTAGCGTGGGTGGGGGCTGCGACGAGTTCTGGGAGGGCGCACTCCCACGCGGCCGCCCGCCGGAGAGAGCTGGGCCCGCGGCACAACCATTTAAAACTTCATAAATTATAAACAAGCCGCCTTGGCCTTCGCCATAAATTCCGCTCCTCTTGAGCCTGCAATTAGTGTTAGGAAGCACCCAAGTCTAAACACAACCAAACGCCCTCTGAAGGGCCCAACTGCCCGAGGTTGCAAGCCTTTATTTATTTCCCGGTGCCACCCCCTCTGCACCCGAGGTTTGCACACAGTCACCTCCTCCCCCGCCACCGCGGGCAGTACACACTCTGCTGGGTTCCCGCTCAGCCTGGGAAGGTCACAATAGCAGCTCTATCCGCTGAGGCGCCTGCCGCCTCCTCCCTCCCGGGTCTTGGGTCTCGGAGAAGCAAAGAAAGAAGAGTGGGGGAGGGGAGCCTGGCCAGCAATGGCGCCCGGGTCTCAGGCCTTCGCTCTAGCTTCAAGACCCCCGGCAGGACACTATGCGGGAAGTTGGCAAGGGAAGGGAATCACTACCCTAGTTTGTCTTTCTCCCATGACGCACGCCGTGGGGCAGAGGAGCACCGACCCTCACCGCCAGGTTGAGGATGCCCTGAAGCAGATAGGTCTACCCGAAGCACGTTGTGCCAGCGGCTCCCTTTCGGGTCCTTTGCAGAGAAGGCCTTAGCCACAACAGGGGGTTATGCCAGAAGGGAGGAGCACTCGGGCCTCTCCTGAGAGTGTTGGTCTTGGGAGGCCTACCTCTTTTGCTATAGGGGAAGGATGGCTTAGTTCAGGCCTTGACCAGTCCTCCTTTTTTCTCCATAGCTTGTATTTTATGGGGGCGAGGTCAGGGGTCGGGAAGGTTGTAGATCTCCCTTAGATTTGAAAAAGTTTAGATCTGAAGGAAAGAAGCCAGGTTCTTGAGCCTGGCTCGTGGATGGCAGTCATTTGGGCACCCGTGATTGTTCTGTCCAGGGATTGAAGTAGGATGAAGAAGATCAGGCCTAAGAGAGTAGGGCCCTACTGCAAAATGGAGGTGCAGGCAGAGGAAAAAGTGAAGTTTTCCCTTCATTCTGGGAAACCTCGGGATACATTCTGGTGTGGAGCTAGCCTGGGATGGGAAGTTGCTGTGGAAAGCCTTGGAGAGTAGCCCTGGCCACTGGCTACCCCACTAAGGAGACAAGAAGGGGCGATCAAGTACATATTCTGCCTGCTGGCTTTCAGAACACAATCTCATCCAGGGATGTGACAGAGAAAAATCCACCTCTGATGGAATCATTAAGTTAACCATCCATTTGTATCATTTCTTTGTACAGGCTTTCAAAGGGGAGAGAGGAAGAGAATTCAGAGCTAGTACTCTCCTTTGGTCCCGACCAGAGACACATCAGCCAAATTGGTTTCTGAGGCCCCAGAGGCTGCTAACCTTGCTGAACAAGATTTTTTGAATTTCTGTCTCTAAGAAGTATTAACCGGTAGTGATCACCTATACTAGCTACCCCCTTTCTCCTTCCTCACTCTGTACCACACCAACCTCCCTGGAGTGAAGAGTTCTCAGTCAGCAGCCTTGGAAGTCCAGGCTCTCCTTTGTTGAGGGTTTTCAGGAGGGAGGGCAAAGGAGCCATGAGTGGGTGTGTGTTTGAATAACAAAGAACTTAACTTTTCCTTCTAATAACCGTGCGGGGGAGGCACAAGCTTGTTTACACCTTCAGTATTCAAGGGACTGTCACGGGTCTCTCTTGACTTCACCAGGAGAATTGACTGAAACTTCCTTCTGAAGTCAAGAATTGGGTAATCCCAGCTTAAAGGTCTAGGAAGGTCTTCTTCATCACAACAGAAGTTTGCAAGGATGCAAGAGAGGCAGGAGGCCCTTACCCCCAGATTTAATGTCATCACTCTTGGGCACTGCAGTTCCCCAGACAGGGTAGATATAGAACCTGGGTCAACAGACCTTTGGGCACCAAGACACTCAGGGAGCTGAGACTGCATTGTCCCCAGGCAAGCCTTACCTAACCCTTACCTTTGAGCTCTTTTAGATTTCCCTCTCAGAAGGCCCAAGTAGATAGCAAAAGACTGGGTGGGAGAATCCTCTACCCTTACAGCTGGGCTCCTGCTGAAGGGAGGGGTTGCTGGAGAGGACCAATCTCATTGCTACCTCGTTTTCTACTCCACTACAAACGTTCTTACCTCTGGGGGTCCAAGGTTGGTGTCAAATGGACTCAGAAACCTGACTGAAGTCTTTTCTTAAACACTTCCCTCGAGTCTCCCATCCTCCCTGTCAAGTTGCAAAGTTCAAAGACAATCCATTTTAGATCAGGTCCAGTATGAAGCAAACTGACTTCCCACAAGGGGTAAAGCCCAGGGCACCAGGGTGCCGAATCTTCTGCAGTAGTAGAGAGAGATGAATGTCACCATGCCTCCCCATCCACTCCACTCTGTGGGATTGGAGTCTTGTTCTACATCTTGTGATAACTACTTTTTAAAACAACCTGGGAGCAGCTGAACCGACGGTAAATATGAAAGATGGCAAATATTCACCCCATAGCCAAGGGTGGAATATCTTGACTGGTTCCTTTGGCCAATCTGGCTCATTTTTCAATAAGGTTTGGAATAATTACCAAAATGAGGTTTAGCATTAGAGAGGACCAGAGGAAGAGAAGATCCCCATATGAATCAGGATTTACGAAGAGCTTTGGTACAGATATGACTGATAGATGCGGGAGGCAGAGACTTAAACCAGGCCGGAAGGACCTATGGACAAGGACCTTTCTTTGAAAAAGAGACTGGAAGGTCTTTTAATGGCTCCATTGTTCACTTCCTTGGCCAGCAAATATCCTGTGCCTCCCCACCTTCTTCTCAGGGACACGCGGGAAAATGGGTCACAGGAGGAGAGCTCTAGGGAGTTGATCCCAGTGTCCCTCATTTCTATCTGCCATTCCTTAGAGCAGCGCCGACGCCATCCGGTGGCTGGCAGAGAACACAAAGGAAGCCCCGACTCAGCCCGGGACCTAGGGTCACTGTAAGCAGGAGGCTGGTGTGGTTTCCAGTCTCAGTGTCCCGGTTGGCCTCGGGAACAATAGCTGCCGCCAGCCCGGGAGGTCGGGCGCTCAGCATAAAGCCGGCTTGGTCCACGCCGCTCTGAGACGCGCGCGCTGACCCGGCTGCCGCCGCCCTCCGGTGTTCCCGCATCCACCTAAACTCTCAAGGAAAGACAAACGGTGAGTTAATCACCCTACCGGCTGGCGGCCGCGTCTTCTGCGCCCGCCTTGGAGGCGGGATGGGGAGTGGGGTTCCTCTGTGTGTGTCTGGGGTGGGGGGCGGGAAAGGTTAGTCCTATTAAGAGTTCATCAATCACCCGGTGTGCACTTTTCGCTCGACAGCGGTTCCTCCTACTTTAGAGCAAGTCTGGGCCAGCTGGGAGCCGACCAGAAACCGCCAGCCGTGGAGACGCTGATGCTCTGGGTGAGCTCTAAGGGAGGGTGCGACACAAGTCCCGCGCCCTCTGCGCAGCAGCTAGGACTGTACTCCAGACGCGCCGGAGGGGAGGGTCACTACCAAGCTCTAACCGCAGCCCACCAGATGAACCTCAAGAACTTCACAGCAAGCCAGCACCCATGCTCGCCCCTGACCCATTGTGACCTGGCATTACCCCCCTCCCCATTACCTACTCCAGTGATACTCACACAGGTCCTTCTATTCCCAAAAAGGGACACCTCTTCCCTGAAGGCAGGGCAAAAAAAATGCCAATGGATCAAGGTTTCTTGCTGACCCCAAATCTCTGCCTGCAGGCCTCTTTGCGTGGGAGTAAGTAGGTCAAGGCTGCT